TATATATATATATATATATTTTTTTTTTTTTTTTAAGAAACAACCTATTTTCTTCGCAGTGAAGAGGCCACTTGGTTTCATTTGAATGAAATCAAATCCGTCTTTCAAAGCTTGAATGATTAAAAAGAAATCTTTTATTTCCTTTGAAAATAAGTACTTCAGAATAAAAGTAACCTGTTACACTTTAAGTGCTGATAATATATATTTCATTATGTTCCTTAAAACTCTAGCACTTAAAATCGACTAACCTTCACATAAGCCTTTCCAGACAGAATTTATTTCTATTACAACTTTAAGCATACAACCAAGCAGCAGAACACGTATTTTTAGCTTACAATGACAATAAGGCTCTATTTCCCATTTACGTGTCTTTTCTGACCTTTACTGTCATCTGTAAGACAAGTACTGTTGGTTGTCAAGCAAACATAAGATTCCAGAGGAGGAAACCAAGATAAAATTCAGAATCACTTTCTTCATAAGTGCAAACTGCAAGCCTCCATGAACGCAGTTACTGTTTTACCTTGATGCAAGTTTCCATACAATAAATTTAGCTCTAGACAGTTTCTGCTTTTAAAAAAGTTTCCCTCACCCTGCTTGGGAAATGAAGAAATGTTAAACTTTGTATGACAGGGGATTCAAATAAACCCAAACAGAAGAACAGTGTGGTTTATACACTTGGCACCAAAGTGAATACTTACAGCCACGACCTTTCAGTGAACAGACACAGTGTTGGGTATTTACTTTCACCTGTGTCTCTTCTTCAGGACACAAACTTGCCCAAGTTTGTGTCATTAATCCAAATCTGACTTCAGGATTTTCCATACCTTTTAAAAAGGCAGTCAAAGCATTTTTTCAAGAAGCTACACTACAAATATGTATACAACTGCCCCACCACTGAAATAAATGCTTACTGAAAAAAAAAAGCATAATAGTTATATCAGAAAGTCTCTCAAAGGAGTGCTCTGATCATAAAAACGGAAATTAAACTTTAATTTCTAGCACTTAAAGCTGCTAAAATAGAAAGTATTTTAACTGCAACATCAAAGAAGTGCTACTGTGAAAAAAATTAACTCCACTAATGAATTCTACTTGTTCCTTTTATTTTGCAGTTCATACTGTTCCATCCCAAATGCTAATAGATGCACAACAGAGCATCAGCTCCCCCAGTTGAATATTCCCATCTGCTGTTCCTTCCCCATGACTATGATACAAAGTATTATATTAAGACAACCTGTTTTATAGCAGCAATTAAAAAAATTATGATAGTTTATTTTCCGCCCAAAAATGATGACATCTAACCTGGAAGCTGTAATATTTCTTTTTAATTTCAAGAGGATTTTCAGTGGTAAAGACTTTTAAGATAATTTAAATAGGATCTTTTATGCTCTGTGGAGAGGTAACACTAACAGAGAAAAACATATTCAAGAAAAAATATGCTGCACTTTGAAGTTTATCTCTCTGAAATGTGCAGAATAATAAAGAACAGAAGCATTACAAGGAATCCAAATTCAATTATACATCACCTTGCACGGCAGATTAAGTCATGATAACTCAATGCTTATTTCTTGTGTAAGCAACAAGGAACTGTGTCTGCTTCAGGAAGAAGCTAACAATCCAAAGACAAGATGGAAAAAGTGTCACAGGAGAACAGATCAATCAAGACAATCAACAAAATGTAAAGCTTTATCCCAAATTTGTATTTCAGTAACATTTTATCCTGTGCTCCAAGATATCAAATTTAATTCCTGGAAAAATGTATCAACAAATCAAAGCATCTGATAGCAAAAAAAGCACAGCACACATGGATATCAAAAAAACAACCAGTACTAAGCCAATCTCACTGCCTGACAGTACAACAGACCTCTGGGACAAGAGAAAATTATCTCATATTGTATCAATGAGCCTTCAAAGTCATTCACTTAAGACACCTTCACAAGCAGATAACTAAGCAGTAGTTCAAAGACAGCAGGAGAGCAGTTCAAAAACAGCAGAGACAAAGCTCACTGCTAAAAGTTACAGCAGAAAGCAGGACTCAGCCATAACATCGACTGATGCCAAACACATCACTCAGCATCACCTGACAGAAATCAAACCAGCTACTCCTAAATTAAACAACAGAAAACAGCTCCACCGCTTGTAGCAAGGAAGAAAAATTCATTTTGCAGTTCATTCCTTAAGTGTCATTTACCTCTGAAGCTGTTAATATACTTTCCCTATGTTGAAAAGCTTTGAGACTAATGTATTTCCTTCCATGATTATAACACTGAAAATACCAGGGTATTTCCCTTTAAATATCTTAAAAATACATTAATGGCTTTTGCTGTCAGAAACTGACATAGCTGTCATTATTCATTTCTAATATGATATTAATGCTTAAATCTCCTAAATTAATGTGAATCTCAAGTGCACACCTGTGTTTGCAAATCCTCTTTGATGGGCTCTGAATACTTAAATGTCACCACTTAATTCTCCCTGAGAGCTGCATAAGGAAATCCTGTACTCCCTGTGTGACTGACTTTGCACAAAGTCTATTTAACATGCTTTGAGAGCTGAAAATTACATGCCACAGGTAAAAAGGTCTTTATCTAGTGATAACCAATAACAGCACAGTCCCTTCAAACCTTTATTTTTCTTTCACTTTTTTTTCTTTTTTTAAACATACACAAGGCATAGAATAGACTCAAAACCCTCTGAACATGTTCAATTTCTTCCATGTCTTTCTATTCACTGGAAAGAAGTTTATATTGACAACATCACTTTCGAGAGTTCAACTAAAACTTACTTTCTGAGAAAACAGAGGCTAAATTCTAAATTATTTGAGCTCCCAAGCACAACTTTGAGGGTGAAGCTATTAATGAAAGCCATACAAATTACTTTTAAGACAGAATCATCTTCAAAATTGAATCAGTTTTGGTTTTAAAGAGATATCACTATCGAAGTTTAAAGTGCCTGAAAAGTACAAATCCGAAACCATTGATTTTCTAATGCAGTACCAGCAGCAATAAAGCTGTTTAGTTTAAAGCTGTTGGTATTGTATTAGAAGGTAAATGAAGATAATAAATTAAGATAGTTACATGGCCAGATACCACCAAGTAGACTTCTCTCTTATTACTTGCAGTCAAATAACTAACTGGAAAAGTGTCAGTTTTTAAAGGCTCCAGTAGGGTCTCCATCAAAATAATCATCTACAGAAGAGTTTAAAATAAAATTAATTAAAATACACAAAAGTTGCAACAAGGGAATCATATGAGGCCGCCATTTTATACCATGGTTCAAATATAACTAACAGCTCACCACCACCAAAAAACAGTGAGAATGAGGTCCATCACTCCTGCTCACCCACTTGTATTCCTGCTTTGCATTTACACTCTTCCTTTCTTGACATTTCAGTCAGTACCATAAGTACTACCTCCTGCACATGATGGAATAAAGAGGTGGGATAACATTTCAGAGCACTGAGTGTTAAATCATTAAATTGTTGAGTACTGAAAGCATTCCAGTTGGGTGAGCAACTTCAGTCCAAGCATCTTCTACACTTACCAAAAATTCAGATTGGCCAAAGCTATTTCCAACAACTGATTACAACACAGTCTGTAAGCAGTTCAAAAAGAGCATCTCAAGGATGCATTCAAATCAAGCTTGCAGTTTTTTGAGAATGCCCAAGTCCCAGTGGCTTCTTACACAAATATTGAAGTTAAATGCACTGAGTAGCAGCAGGAACTGTTTTGTAAATCATCTCAAAAACTTCAGGTTTTGGTCTACACAGTTTTGGTATTTCCAAAGGTTTTCACTAAGTTGGCAAAGAACTGCAGTGAGTTTAAATGAAAAGGGAAAAAACCTTTGAAGCCAATTGTAAGGAGAACACAACTGTGGAGCAAGAGTATTTACAGAATTTTGGAAGCCAGTTATATTCTCCATACCATGTACTCAATGGGTGAAATTCAAATTGCTTCTTAAATAAAAAGATAAAACATTGGCTGTATTTAAAACATTTGCATACAACTGGACATTTGTACAGAAAGGAAGTTGGTGGTTGGCGGCCCTGCCTGTGGCAGAGGAGTTGGAACTTGATGATCCTTGGGGTCCCTTCCAATCCAAGCCATTCTATGATTCTTTCATTCTGTGAAATTAACACAAAATGAACCTCTTCAAGGTTTACAAAATAGGGTGGAAACAGAACGAACCAAGGACAGAAAAAGTTTCATTTCATCCTATAGCTAGGTAGCAACAAAGAACAGCTGGAGTGGGTCCAAAGGAGAGTCAGGGGACTGGAGCACCTCCCCTACAAAGACAGGCTGAGGGATCTGGGCTTGTTCAGCATGGAGAAAAGAAGGCTGCAGAGTGAAAGATGTTGCAACCTTTCAATACCTAAAGGCAGCCTACAAACAGAAAGGGAATCAACTCTTTGAAAGGGTTGACAACAGCAGGACAAGGGGAAATGGTTTGAAGTTGAGGGAGGGAAGATTTAGGTTGGATGTCAGGGGGAAGTTCTTTAGAGAGAGTGGTGAGGTGCTGGAACAGGCTGCCCAGAGAGGCTGTGGATGCCCATCCCTGGAGGTGTTCAAGGCCAGATGGGATGGGGCCCTGGGCAGCCTGGTCCAGTGTTAAATGGAGAGGTTGGTGGCCCTGCATGTGGCAGGGGGGTTGGAGCTTCATGATCCTTGAGGTCCCTTCCAACTCTGTCCACTCTGTGATTCTGTGAACAGGTTACCAAGTTCCCAGCACCAAGAGGAATAACTGTATGCAAGTTAGACCCTCAAGTTTCATCACTTGCTAAAATATTTGGATCATACGAACATTAAGTCCTATAATTTACATTTATGCGTGGGTATAATGTTTGTGTAGTGCTAAACCTTACTTAACTGGATATTACTACTACTTGTTTTTAAATTATACACAAATTCTTCAACTAGTGCATGTAATACTAGCTTTTTAAACTAAATGATAGCTTTGGTTACGCATCTATACCTTCAGCAAGTTCCATAACATGCACAAACAAGCAGAATCCGACTGATTTTAGCATGCTTAAACACACAACCATGTATACAGATACACTTGCACAACAGAAGCCTGTAATTTTCACCCACATTGAGGATTACACAGTAAGTTACATTCCTGAAGAATTTCATAAGTTCATTTTTTCATTTTAATGTTCTTAAGAGTTAAATACTCTTTGAATCTGGGTTCTACGATACCACCTATAACCTTTTGGAAATACTGTTTGTTAACTTGCTTTTGTAATTATAGTTTTCAATTAAATGTTGGTTGATGAAGTAGACCAAAGTTTCTCTTATTCCAGCACCAAATTACACCCCATTGAACCCTCATTTCTGCAAGTTCAGAACAACAATTTAACAACAACTCTCCAAGTTCAGGAGTTCTGTGTGTTTTGGGTCTTTTTCACTGTACACATTTCATGTTTAAAACAGAAGTATTAAAACTACCTTAATGACAATTTTAAAAAGCATCAGGCATACCCTACATGATACAGATCCAGAAAGTAACACACTTACAGCTTCAAATGATAAGTTAACATGATCCAAGAATTTCTGCCTCAGGCTGTCAGTCAGTTCGTGGAAGCGATATCGAAACAGATCCATTTCTTGTTGAAGAAACCAACGTCTGAGTTCCTCACTGCAGAGAAAATATAATTTAAACAATCATGTTTTCTGATTATGCATTCTCTCACCATAGATGAGAGATGATGTAGATGTCCAACAGTGTGAACACAACTTGAAATGCAAGTATGACTTCGTCATGGAACCCACAAACTAACAAGTTTGGAAAAGAAGGCAAATAACCTATGGAACGGAGAGGTTAAATAAGAAAGGATACTGTAAAAACAGTGCTCTACATTAAGCAAAAAACACACTGGAATCAGCCTAGGGAAAAAATGTGTACTTCACTGAGGTTCAGTACCATACAAATACAACATCTAACACATGACAAAAGAAAAAACAGAGTTTAGCAGCTGCAGGTGAGCAAGGAGAACCACAAACAAGAACACAAGGACAAAATATCTACTCAAAATATAGGTTGGAAATGTAAGTAGCTCTTATTCCAATTACAGTTTCAGACAGAAAGGCTTTGATAAAGTGGTCTGTGAAGTACAGCCCTGTGTACTGATAGATTTCTTACTACAGATGTATCAATAATCTATGCAACCTATGGAAGCTGATGAACGAACTTCTGCAGCTCCTCTGTGGTCATCCTGGCCAGTAACAAAATTCTGTGGTCATACAATTTTACTCTTGTCCTTAACGTTGAATTTGTTTCCCTATGTAATAAAGAAATTATTAATTATATCAAGAATGTGGGGTGCCAGGCAGTCTCTGGTTCTTCCTTTCCTCTGGAAGAGCAGATCAAGGGCTGTAGTCCCCACTTACCCACTTAAGCTACCAAAGCAAAGAAACACTGAACTTATCTTTAAGATAATACACTTATCTACTTAGATTGTTCCTATAGCTGACAGACTGGCTTAAGAGATTGCTCACACGAATAACATTACCATACCTATAAAGCACACACTTCATAATTAACATTCATGCAAACATCATTAAAGCACCAATCTTATCCTCATGTCACAGGAAAACTGTACTTCATTTCCAAATCCAAATGACTTACACTCCTTACTACCATTTAGAGAAACGTACATTCTCACTACAGAAACACATTAGCAATAACATTTATTATTGAAGCCACAAGTTTAAGTGAAAAGCAGTGTTGCTGTGATCACACAATGAAGAGAGCTGCTATAGTTGCAGGTAGCAGAAGTAAAGGAGTGAGGAACAGCTCCCAGCTTTTTGAACTGAATACTCAATTTTCTGTTTGTGAATCTGATGGTCTAATTTAATATGAAAAAAATAACTCCTACATATGCATTAAAAAAAATCCTACTCATCCCACAAGAAGTGTTAAGAAAAACAGATGTATACTGATGCTTCAAAGTAGATACAAGTACTTTAGGAAGACTTGAAAATGCTCCTAGAGCTAGCAGATCACTTTCCACAATTAAATGTCAGCTCAGTTACCAACCCCTTCAGTCACAGAATCACAGAATCACCCGGGTTGGAAGGGACCTCAAGGATCATGTAGTTCCAACCCCCCTGCCTAACAGGGCCACCAAACATACACATTTAGATCAGCTCAGTCAACATGTGAAGTCAGAGCATGGGCCAGAATTCTATCTTGGTTGGCAGCTGAAACCAGAAGACTGCAGAGGAAAGGCCTGCATTTAACACCTTGTGTTTACGTTGTGTGACAGAACACAAAAAAGTAAACTTTCAAACACTTCTGTATTGACTGAAAAGATTTTCACTGTCACAGAAAAGGCAAAGATTTTCTCTTCCATGTTAAACAAGAAACATGAAGTTTATGCCCTCACACCTACTGAGATTCTTGCTAGCTGAAAAAGTGAAGAGAGATGCAACAGAAGCAGAAATGCATGGTCATGGCCTGCAGACAAAGTAAAGTTCTCCTTACAGCTGTACTTGCCATGAAAGTGAATGAAACAAGATATTTCTGTTTCCTGAGCTTGCTGGATATAAGTGATGTCAGAGGTGTGTATGAAAGGTACAAATGAATCTGTTCACTCAAGACTGCACAAATCATATCTTAGGAATGTTACACAGGAGTAAGTTTTAAAGCCTTGGATTTCATAAGGCAGAAGGACAGTGAAAGGTTAGACTGTGTTACCAGTATAAACAACAAGAAGGTGCAGCTGATCACTCCATGCCATTTTGGCCACGTACAAATCAATACAAAACAAAATCCACTTTATGAGAGGTCTGACAGAGAAAAAAGCTGATGAAGACTTGCACCCCTGGGTGGCACTGTTGGACTGCTAAAAACAGGTGGTGCAGCAGAACAGGCCTGTCAACACCCCCTCTGCCAAGCCACTAGGAACTGAAATCAAGCAACTTTGCAGCTGTGTTAAGCACACTTTTCAAAGACTGCTATCTTAGCAGCTTTCACCACCTAATGTAACATTTTGTGCCAGGCTCATTTTTTCTGACCTAATACAATAAAATCGTGCAGTATTTATTCTTTTTGACTCACAGATTTATCTTTTGGGGAACATCTGGCTTTAGAACATAAGAACATTTCATTCCAGAGACAGCCACTACTCAAGAGAGAACACACACTTTGTACTTGCTAGTTTTAACTATAAAACAGGATTTTAATGGCAAGGAGTCGGGATGATGCACAACAAAGCTGCTAATAGACATAAAGCACTGACAACCTCTGTAACTTCATCCAGAGCCTATAGCTGAAACTGAAGGAAAGCACTTGGCAGGACAAACTACATGCCTTAGATTTCACATAAATCAATAAATAAATATCAATTACTTTAGAAGAAAATAATAGTCAGTGAAGAAAACCTCAGATTCAGTATTTTTAGTTTCTGAGAAATAAGGCTTTCTTTAGACAGTACTGTAAAGCTTATTCACAGAATCAGATTATTCTCTTCATTTGGTCAGTAAGCAACAGCTGACAGAGCAGTTCACTTAAATTTTCTGTAATTGGGTAAATCAATGACAAGACCTTTTCATTTCTTTCTTGAAAATAAAGAAAGACTTATATCAATGCTCCATGCATAAAATCAACAGTTTCTACATTACAGAGTTTTAAAAACTACATAATCTTGGATATTAATTTTGATCCTGAATATCTCTTAACATCTCAGTTGAAATTAGCTTTCCAGAGAAGCCCCTACTTGAACCTACCCTTATGTTTAGTAGCCATACAGCCCTACACAAACTATAATAACACATATATACATACACACACTTAAACTTACTAATAAGACCAAAGAATAATCCAAAAAGTACTTACGACTGACAGTAAGCAAGGCGCAATATGAAATGAGAAATATGATCCTTTCTTCTTGCATCATAATCATCCTCAGCCAAAGCCTACAGAAAAATTTATTATTTCAGAGATCTGATCCTCCCAGGATTAGAAATCCACAGTTCATTCACCTCTGCTGTTTCACATCATATTAATATTTGCATCTATAACCACAAACACAGAACTATTAAAGAAGACGACTGCCCAAAAGAAAGAAATGTGTATTCTTAAAGACAAATCCTGTCAAACTGCCAGAATTCAAGCTTTAGGAATAGTAATCTGTGCAGAATATCTGAACAGTGTACAGAAAATAGAGTGTGAAAGAAGTAGTTCCTTGTTTTCATTTATACTTACTCTGTAGGGAAACTTAAGTTTCCGGAGCTCAGCCTCCAGCTTAGTTTTGTACGCATCACCACTTCTTACATAGCTCACACCAAGGTTTTCAACTACCTTGAGCACTGAGAAGAGAAAAAAAAAAAATAGTCCGTATAGTTACAACACAGTTGTACTCCATAGAGTCACAGTATGCAGGTAGTGACAGGATGAGGGGAAATGGCTTTAAACTGGAAGAGGGTAGATTTAGACTAGATATTAGGAAGAAATTCTTCACTGTGAGAGTGGTGAGACACTGGAACAGGTTGCCCAGTGAGGCTGTGTATTCCCCCTTCCTGGAAGCATTCAGTGCTAAGTTAGATGGGGCTTTGAGCAACCTGCTGTAGAGGGAGGCCTATTGCAGGGAGTTGGAACTAGATGACCTTAAGTGTCCCTTCCAACTCAAACTGCTCTATGATTCTATGATAACAGACTGAGAAGAAATCTAACTCTACCATGATTCGAAAAAAGGACTCAATAAAAGCCATGCAAACTCCTGTTAGCAGCATGGGAGCAAAAGGGTAAGAAGTCAGGAGGACAAAGCATGGCCCAGTTCTTCCTATCATAGAATCATTAAGGTTAGAAGAGAACATCTAGTCCAACCAGTGACCCATCACCACCACTCCTACTATGTCCCTCAAACCCAACAGCTCATCCAGCCTTGAAATCCAGAAAGGGCACAGAGCAGGGAGACACCCAACCAGGAGATCAGCCCTAGAGTTGCACTGCAGTGGCAGAAACCTGCATTCTGTGGTTCTCTGGGGGCACTGTTCCTAGCCACGACCTCAGCGCCTGCACAGAGAAACACCCAATCAAGATATCCAGAGACACTAAAACACTCTCGTGAAAAACAAGACTATAACCCAAAACCACACAATTCTGACTGAAGCTGAACTGTGAAATCACTCAGAGCTCCTTGAAATAGCTACAAGCTCTCCTTTAACAGGCCTTCATTATAACATGAGTGAGCGGCTAACTTAAATCAGCAACAGGCAGAGGGGCACCTAGGCCAGTCCAGAACACACTCCACTAGAAGAATCTAAGGTTCGAGATGTCTGGACTGGAATACAATTAGGCAGGCTCCTAGGCCGAGGGCTGCCGCACACTACTCACGCCTCAGGCGGTCCACGGCGAAGCTCTCGAACTCGACCAGCGAGATGCTCTCGGTGGGGGGCTCCTGGTAGAACTGCAGGCTGTGGGGGTACGGCTCCCGCCTGTCCCCCGCCAGCCTCAGGTGCCGCTGCCGCGTTCTGCTGCTGAACTCCATTTGCCGACAGGGGTGAGGAAAAGAAAAAGGGGTGAGGTGGGCCGAAGGGTCACACGAGACCCCGCCAGCCCTAAGCCGACATCCCGACCCGTCCCCGCGCACCGGCAGCTCTCCCGCTTCCCGCGCAGCAGTCGCCCCGCCTACTTCCGGCTCGCTTACTTCCGCCCTGTGGTGCCCCGCCCCCAGGCACGCCTCCCTGCCCTGCCCCGCTTTTGCCCACAAACAACATGGCTACTGCGCTTACAGGCGGACATGTCGTCTGTGGGCTCTCTAGCTGCGGAAGGAACTCTATGGTAGTTCCCAGCGCCTGCAGGGGGAAGGCTGAACCTGCAGTCCCCGAGGCTGCAGTGAGGCACAGCAAGGCGTAGACCTTGGCCTGATTGAACTTCGTGAGGTTCTCTCTTAAGCCCATCGTGGTCCCTCTGGATGGCATCCCTTCAGTGTGTCAGCTGCACTGCTCAGCTTGGTGTCATCGTCAGTACTGGTCCCAGTACTGACTCCCAAGGACACCACTCATCACTGGTCTCAGCCCGGATCACAGAATCACAGAATTGTAGGGGTTGGAAGGGACCTCCAGAGATCATCGAGTCCAACCCCCCTGCCAAATCAGGTTCCCTACAGCAGGTCACACAGGTAGGCATCCAGGCAGGTCCTGAACATCTCCACAGAAGGAGACTCCACCACCTCCCTGGGCAGCCTGTTCCAGTGCTCCGTCACCTCACTGTAAAGAAGTTCTTGCTCACATTTGTGCGGAACTTCCTATGCTGCAGTTTCCAGCCGTTCCCCCTTGTCCTGTCTCCACTCACCACTGAAAGAAGTCCGGCCTCGCCATTCTGCCCCCCACACCTTAGATATTTATAGACCTGGATCAGGTCCCCTCTCAGTCTTCATTTCTCAAGGCTGAACAGACCCAGTTCACTCAGCCTTTCTTCATAGGAGAGATGCTCCAGGCCCTTCACCATCTTTGTGGCCCTCCGCTGGACTCTTTCCAAGAGATCCTTGTCTTTTTTGTACTGGGGAGCCCAGAACTGGACACAGTACTCCAGATGAGGCCTTACCAGGGCAGAGTAGAGGGGGAGGATCACCTCCCTCAACCTGCTGGCCACGCTCTTTTTAATGCACCCCAGGATGCCATTGGCCTTTTTGGCCACAAGGGCACACTGCTGGCTCATGGCCAACCTGTCGTCCACCAGGACACCCAGGTCCCTCTCTGCAGAGCTCCCCTCCAGCAGCTCATCCCCCAACCTGTACTGGTGCATGGAATTATTCCTCCTCAGATGCAAGACTGTACACTTGCTTTTGTTAAACCTCATCCAGTTTTTTCTGCCCAGCTCTCCAGCCTATCTAGGTCTTGCTGAATGGCAACACAGCCTTCAGGTGTGTCAGCCAATCCTCCCAACTTCGTATCATCAGCAAACTTGCTGAGGGTGGCCATTATCCCCTCATCAAGGTCATTGATGAAGATGTTGAACAAGACCAGACCCAGCACCAACCCCTGAGGAACACCGCTGGTTACAGGCCTCCAACCGGACTCTGCACCGCCATCAACGACCCTCTGCGCTAATTGAGCCGGATGTTGAGCCGTTAATGGCAGCTCTTTGAATGTGATCATCTAGCCAATTCCAACCAGTGTTGGAACCAACCAACCAAATAGAAGTTGGTGGATTGTCTTGTGAGAAATTCAGATTGCTCACGGATGGACAGTCAGAACTGGCAATGAGGTTATAGCCACAAAGTGAGGAAAATCAGTGTCTCAGGCTAGCAACCCACTCTTGAAAACAAGGTGGCCACATAGTACAAATTGCTCCAGAGAGTAATTGCTGTGTTCATGCTACCCAGAATGAAGTGTGCCACTTGCTCTGAGCCAGGCCTCTGCCAGGGATCATTTGGACAGTTTGAACAGATCCAGGTCTGTTCTCCAAGAGAGAAGAAAAAAATAAAAATAAAAAAAAAGCTATTTTTCTATATATTTAACTCAAAACATCTTTACTCTAATAGCCAGCATTCATATCTCCTTTACCCCCCTCCGCCCCTTTCTCTGTATGCCACAAATGTTGCTCTGGAGTAAGAGCGAATCTGCCGAAATCCATCCAGACATTGCAAGAAGGCAAAAGGTTTTAGTTCTGTCTGACCACTGCATTGTTTGATACCCAAGAGCTGTTGTTCAAACTGTCAGTGCGTGGTCCAGGACAAAATCCAAGGAGAAAAATGAAGAGTTTGCACATTTTTCTGAGTGCTGTACATGACCAGGACAGCAGGGGGAAAGTTTAACAATGCTGAGAGACCCTCTGCAGAAACCAGAAGTGTTTTTAGTTTTAATTTTAAATGATGTTTTAGCATTTGGCATGTAGGCAGTGGTACCACCATCTACACTGTCTGTCACTATTTTTTGTACTGAGCCATGTCCTGCTGCGCTTTGTAAGTCAGCAGTTACATCTGTGCCTGCTGTTTTTTACCTTTGTTGTTGTTGTTGCATTACTCTTTTTTTTTTTCCCCCCATCTGTTGCTGAGTGCTGATCCTCAGTTGGCTGAAGTTAGGTAAAAATGTAACCTGCTTCTTTAAAAAAAAAAAAAAAAAAAAAAATCACTTAACTGTTTTGCAGCATATTGTCATAATAAGCATCTCTATTACTAGACTCGAATAAATCTTGTGAGGGTACTGCTAGCTCCTTCACACAGAAATCCTTTTCTTGGGAAAAGGAAGCAAACAAGGAAAAATGTATCACCTTGGGGGAAAACTCCCCAAACTGCTCTTCAATAGGTGTCATAACCCAAAGTTTCCTACTGACTTTTTATCAAAACCTACACACACTGACAGTTCTCACAATAACCTTTTACTTACTTTTTTTACATTTCTATTGTCATCATTTCCACAGCAACATTGCCAGTAGACTCTGATTTTGGAAATGTTTTTTAACAGAATCACTGGTGTTCCAACTACCCACCTCACAAATGTTTTACAACATCCATACGGCCAGCTGTCAAACTGTCCCCACCACCCCAACCAAACACAGTCCGATCCAGCATACCTCAAACACCTAACGTTGTGCTACCGAATTAACAGAAAAACAAAGCCCTTATTTTGCAGTAAACACGATTGCACATTATCTACTCCCCTGTTGTTGTAGTGATTAGCAGTGTCCACAGCAGTGCTAATTCTTTGGAGCCCAGTTATTTTGTACTTGCATAACTACAGCTGTTAAATAGAAGGTAAATATGCCATTGTCTCTTTTTCAAGCTACCCCATGTTCTCACTATGTCCAGGATGCTTGGAGATCTGAGGATAGCAGAGCTTAGCATAGAATGTCCCTTCTCTGCTCCGGGTCACTTTCAGCTCTTACAGTTAATTTATGCTTAATCTTATTTACAGCTTCTACCATCAGCCTGACTGAATTCTCGTATAACATAGTCACTATACATATTGTTCTCGTAACTTGTTTTCTTGATGTTTCAGTTTCTACAAATATTGTTTGAATATTTTTTAAAGTTGTTGCTTACTGAGTCCTCAGATTTCTCTATCACGTAACTCAGTTCCTTTAGTGACCTGGCTTTCCCAGACACCTTAACAGCCTTATTGCAGGAGTGTATCTCTGTCCTTACTGGCCCACCCACTCTTTGTGTGACTGTTCTGCAGTAACTTTTCTGCTTCATGCTTTTTATTACTTTTTTGAATACTTGCCGTTCAGTTTATACTGAGGTTTTTTTCCTGACTGTGATAAGCAGATACCTTTGTGTTAACTATAAATAAATGGCAAATGTTCTGAGCTGGCCTTTAAATTCCTTTGGTTTCCAAAGCGAGCAAGGCATGAATCATGCACTGAAGAAAGGCTCAGAGGGCTATTTTGGTCAGAATACACTCTCGGTCTCCCAGCGTTAATATATTTAAGTAGGGGTAATGATGGTTACATCCCTTATGACATTCTAAGTCACTTATCAGGGCTTTTGGATTAAGAATTATGTCCCCATATTGCCTGTCCAAAACTCTAGTACATAAGTGGAGGAAATCTAGATATGTCTTACAGTCATCTTAAATTTATCCTGACAGGTCTTCTCACTGCATGCAGCTTCAGAACACTTAGGTTGCTGTGGTGAACAGGCTTATCAGCCCTACGTTCTGTTATATATCTTATTTTCAATCCCTTAGCATCATTTTTCAGAGTACTTCTCAAGGAAGTCCTGCCCCTGTGTAAGGCTTTTCTGAAAGTAGCCATTCTTATGCAGTGTTACAAGATGGTCATATGCTTTAAATATTTTTGGCTGATATTCCGGGGCTTTGGGGTCTGTTTTGTTGTGGGTTTTCTTCCTCTGACAATTCTTGACTATATGATTAATGTTAGAGAGAGGCTGAAGTATCAAAGATAGGACGTTCCCAAAAGTCAGAGAAATTAGAGCCTGGAAAAAAGGAGAGAGAGACTGAAATTCCTACCATGTGAAAGATCAGCAGAACTCAGCTACTTTCCTGTGCAGAGCAGCAGTGACCAAGCAGTTAACACAAACATCCTGTCCAACCACCACAAGTACAGCTTCAGCTCATCCGCTGCATAGTTGTTCCTAAACAAACAGACAAGAAGATTTGAAAAATAAAGCTTCAGATCTTAGAAAGCAGATTAATTTGTAGACTGAGTGTATTCTGCTGCACATGGATCTCCTCCTTTCTTTTCCAAGCATAACTCACCATATCTAAATGTGAGCTTCTGAGATTTGGAAACCAGTTTTTCAGTCTGCCTACCTGTATAGATACCGACATTTTCCTTTCTTGGAAATTGTTACCACTGAACTAATCTACAAGAAGAAAATGCATTTGTTACATGTAACACATTTGCTGCATTTCTAATATGCTTTCAAGATTAATCCATTTTGTACCTGTATAGTAGTAAATAATTCTCTCTTATCAAGTAATCTGTAAGTATTTGAAAAATGTCATTAATTCCAAAAATACTGCTACCCAAAATAAAATAATACCATATGAAACCTAGTCATGTGTATGTATCCAAGATTTCAATCATTTTTAAACCATATAAAACATTAATTATAAGGACTGAGAATAATACAAAGAAAGTTTACAATATTTTTATAAGGAGAACCATTACTGTCTGAAAATTTCAAAGTATTATTCTGTCTGTAGCAAAGGAAACCCACTGCTGTTTAAGAATTTTCTTTTGGGTGTTTATTTAGGGATAGTGAATAATACAGACATGGCCAGACAGATTTCCCATTTTGAGCTTATGACCTGATCATGAAAAAATGTTCTATTCAGTACATACAAATGCTGAGTTTTCTAATGCCCAGTTGCTGTGCAAAACAGTCTGTAAAAATCCAACCTAACCATAACTGGCAGCTGTGTTAGGCTTACCAAGAGCACTTCCACTGTTACAAGTGGGAGCCCCAAAAATAAACATCAAAGGAGAGACAGGGAGATCCAATGTGCTACATCTAGAGCCACTGTGCCTGCACCTATCTTTCAAGATCTTCTTTAAACAGGAGTCATTTCCTATGGGACTATTAGAGATAGGTAAGTGCTCTGATGACCTCTAAAAGGACATCCAGTCTGCATAAATTTAGGTGCCTGGGTCGCTGATTTATTTTCCTTTTGTTTGCCTCATTTATTTGTTTGTTTTTTGTTTTTGTTGTTGTTGCTGTTTCAAATGCAGATGAGGCACATTAGTGAAAACTTAAATGTTATTGCAAGTTATGGGAAAAGATTCTCCCTTATATGAAATAGTAAGTCATGTTCCCTGTTATGAGTTAATACCAACATAAGGAGTTCAAGGGAGCTCCCATATTTCTCATGCAAGCACAATTCCAAATTAATTGGAAGCTGCTGCAGGCAAACATGCAATATCAAGATGATGAGCATGCTAGCTAATTCTTTATCCACCTTCCTACTAGAAACAAAATATTTGCATCACATTGTCTCAGATTTTAGGACTTTGTCTTTTTATTACTTTATTATTGCCTCACCTTTGGCTGAGTGTCTCTGGAAATGGTGTTCAAGAAGCCACGCTGACTAGTTTACCAAAAAACAAACATGAAAAATTCAAATAAAGACCCCTCTCCCTACTAAATATTCCCTAAAACTGTATTGGTTTGACTGGAAGCAGAATCAAGCCTCAGAACTCAAACTTTCATCCCCACCCTCCAGCACTGATGACATCAGTTCCTACTGCAGCTCTCCTTGAAACTCAGGGCGTGCTGATAAACTGTTGATTTATTTTCAGATTGCTGAACCAGAATAACTCTTGGCAGCAGTATCTTGGCAATCTTTCTTCAGACTATCTACATGAATATGAAGAAATCTCACACGCAGATTGCAGTCTGGAAAACTGCACAGCACCATTGCAGAAAACAAATAAATCACTTTGAAATAGTCAGTAAAAATTGCCTGCAGTATAGCCACAAGAAGTAGAAGGGACTACTATGCTTACACTTGAAAGGAAGGCACAAAGTGTATCAGTTTCACGGTTACTAACAATACAGAGCTTTCAGAATAAGTATTGGAATGTTGAACACCTCATGTTTTGTAACAAATCCAGCAACAGTTCAAGGGCACGAACAAGTCATAATTAATCTAAATGAATGCAGTTGCTATATTTTATACTTACATTTCAGGTGGGACTGATGCATTATTATAAAAAAGCAGAAGTTGGTTTTTTTGTTGGTTTTTTTTTCGTGTTTTTTTTTTCCGCCTGGCAAAATGTCCCAAATGCTTTCAAAAGTAAATGCATTCTCTTTATAGATAAAGTATTTTAACTTACCTCCATGGGTGTCTGAATGGTGTTGCATGCTTCAGTGTATAGTTTTGCATTCTCAGTGAAATGCATACAGTTGATCATGAGCGGAAATGATGGCAGATGTGTAATTAAACACTGAGCATGGAGTACATGTGCAAGTATTGAGCACCTCACAAATCCATGACAAATATAATGATCTCTGTGATAACCTGATACTCCATGCTGGTGTTCTTCATGTTCGTGTTGATGCAACCACCATCTCAGAGACTTTTTTTTCCCAACAATTCTAAAGACTGGAAATCTCAAAGAAACAGAGGTCCTTTGGGTTTTCTTCCTACAATTTCCACACATCATAGAAAGAGCTCTCTGAGTAAGTTTGTTCAAACAGGATTGAAATTTTTGTTGCATTCCAACAGATTTAATGATATTTTATTTTATTTTATTTTTAAAGTTTCTGTCTTATGTTTGTTCCTGTAGAGGCTTTCTATTGAATGCAAAATCTTTCTCTTACTCTTGAAGGCAAAGGCCTAAAGCCTATCTGAGATTTATAGCAAGACTTTGCAACCAGTCTTTCAAAGCAATGTTTTTACATATGACAGCAGGACTGGGGCTGGTGTAGACCATTGCTTACTTTCTTAGATTTACCACTCATTAAAATCTAGCACTTTTTCCTTATAGTTCAGCTGTAGTATCTTACAAAGCCAAACACAGCTGTCTTGTTCCTTTTAACTAAGGGCAGATTTCCCCCCGCCCCAAGTATAAGTTGTTTTCCCCTTCTTCTTGCAACAGAAAAGCAGAAGAATTAGAGAGGGTGGCCTGGTTAACAAAGATGAATAATATTTCCACTGTGGTCTCTACAAAGAAGTTCTAGAATTGTCTGTAAGTTTTCCAAGTTTCTATTTGTTTCTGGTTGTTTTGTTTTCTGATGTTTGCTGTTTCGTTTTTCATTTTTCTTTTATTGGGGCTAGTTAGTTCCAAATTTCCTCCCTTATTTTCCTCCTTATGGGTGTGGACACTTACTTTTTTATGTCAAAATTGACATGACCTCAGCCTGACAGTACATTATGGGAAGCTGGAAGGTTTATTGGCTTAAGAGAACCTCTTGGAAAAAGAGCTGGGTAGTGGTAGTTGGAGAATGAGTCAGTGTCTGGAGTCCAGCTGTGCATTCCACACAAGCCTGACCATAGCTGGGTTACTCAGATCTGCTCACCTGCCTGAAACTGGCTGTTTAAGAAAAGAATAGACTTCATGTGTCCAGGATACATTTTTGGCTAAGAATATTTTAATAAGGCAGCAATTTATATTTCTATCTTTCCATTGTTATTAATATTGCAGTGGAGAACAGGAACCATGCTCTTGGAAAAGCAATTCGTGATATATACCAGCATGTCTTAAGGATGCTGTGGCATCAACATCTTAAAATGCACCATGGGTAGTTGGATCTGCAATGAGTTCTGTGACTATTATTGTAGAAACACCTACATCCAAACCCTGGGAGGGAAAGTAGCATCATTCCTTATTGCCCTCTTTTACAGTGACAGGATATTAAGAAGTACAGCATCAGCTCCCAGTGGGTTTTATTTAACTAGCAGGTTGAGTTAAAAGGCTTACTGAATCAACATGCCAAACTTGAAGTTCTAACCTTTGAACAACACAGTATGTAAAAGAAAAAAATCATTTGAATGTCTTAAAAGACTGTTGACAAATATTGAGTTTCATAACATTTTGTTCAAATTAAGTTCTCACAAATTTATCTTCTTAATCTCTTCCACTATGTAGATAAAAAACACTTACTTCTAAAGGAAGCATTCCTCACAGATTACAGCAATGGCCTCAGAGTAATACAGAAGATACGTCTTACCTAAGTCAAGCCTGAAAGAAAAAGAATAAATTAATTCTGCATCACTTAAATTTTTCCATTTCTTCCTATTTAATAACCCTGAAAGTTTAAAAAGTGTACTCAAGGAATTTTCTTTTTACTTTTAGTGTAAGATCCATGGAAACAAATATTCAAAATGAAATAATACCGAGAAGCTATGACTCCTTCTCATACACAAAGACTAGGATGAAAAAAAAGCCAGGATTGAAATTTAATCTTATTTAGTATAGAAAAACTTTCGACAGTCAGCTGGGATCAGAAGAATGTTCGGAGGCAACACACATATTCAGGCTGTGATGATATCTAAAGCAGTTTCAGCTCATTGAACATGGTTGCCCACTTTCTCTTCTCAGTTTTTGACTTAGTCACTGCCATTGTAATTGTAGACAAGCACACCTGAAGCTGAGGAGGGCAAACCTGACAAGATGATATGTTTTGAACCTCATGGGCATTAATAAGTCTTCCTAGAATTTCAGATCCACTTACAGAGCAAGTGTAAAGCTACTGTATGGTATACAGCTGAGTTTCTAAATAGCTTTATTTCAGCTGGGAATGGAGAGTGAACCATGCAGGTCATTGAAAAAAAATCTCTTTAAAGTACCAAAGACCTGGAGTAATTCCTGAGCTCTGCATGGGATTAGAAATAAATCCCTTAGTATCAGAACACATGCAATTTGTCTTCCTGTGTATCCTTGTCTCTTCTGTCCCCTATGGACTGCACACTGCTCTGTGCCACACACAGTAACCCCACATTTTCTCCACTCCTGTTCCCTGGGTCCTTTCTCCCTCACTCGAAGAAAAAAAAAAAAAAATAGAGCAGGTGCAGAGCCTGGCCTACAGTCTGATTAGCTAAAACGTGGCAATCAAATACAATGAATGATTTCTGCCATTCTGTCCTCTGTGGGCATACTCACTCATCTAGGTCTTTTTCTTGTACTTAGTTGCCACTTTTCAGACATGCTGAATGTTGCCATCTTGAAGATGCTTTATTTGGTTTAATTTGTCCCATGATTTCCAGAGTTAATGGAGAGAGCTCTTCTCTTTCCTCATGCATCAAGTGGTTTAAGGACGAATAGGTACCAAAGCATCATAAAAGATGAAGTGGAACAGGAATTTATATCTACGAAAATCCAGAAACAACATTGTTTATCATCCAGAGCCTTTATGTATGGCAAAGAAGTAGTAAGAGCAGCACAGAGCAACTCTCAAGAGAGTCCCTTTATAAATTTTAAGAGGATCAAGCTAGACTGACCATACAGTTCTTAGTTAATAGAAGATCACTAGAGGATGAGCTTGAGCCAGTCAGCAATCTCCTCAGGACATTAGTTACGTATCATCACAGTTATTCCATCTTGAAGGTAAAGTAAGCTATCACAGATTCATACTAGAAGGAAAGCAACGATTGAATCTTTTTTCTAAGTGACAAAGACATATCCTCTTGACATATCTTTTATAAAAAAATTCGAGCTACGTGATGGTTAAGGAAAAAAAAATCCTTTACATATATTTTTCAAAAGCAAGAGAGAAAGGCTCTGAAGTCAACACAATAAATAGAAAAGATACAAATTAACTCCCACCAAAATTAAGGTGACTGATAACTAGTCACTAGTCAGAGAGGCTTGGTACTCAAGAAAATCTGAAGCTTTTAAACTGGAAAACATAAATCCAAAACAAGAGTGCTACGGGTCACTAACCTCATAATTGGGACACTGGATTAAGTGCCAATATCCTTTCATAGCAACCATCACCAAGGACATCAGTTATAGAATGTGAAGTGAAAATACAAACAGATAAATATACTTCTGACAATGGAACAAAAATGGGTTGTTTTCTGTCTCTAATGCTGATGAATGGAATGTTGAACTGTTTGGTGAAAAGCATCAATAGCTGTCGGTAGATCACTGTACAGTCACTGTCCACAGCTCTCAGGAGTATTCTACAAGAAATTTACCAACCTGTATGCTGGCATATTAAAACATTAGCTTTGCCTGATGGACTATCAGTAAGTAAAAGCAATCATTAATTTATCTTTCTATTCACTAAGACCAGAACAATACAGAACATAGGTTGCTTGTAGATCTTTTTACAGACATACATGCATCTATACAAAATGCTGGACCTGCAAATACAGGAACAGCCCAAGAATCACACTCACATCACCTAATTAAGGCAGTGGTTCTGACAGTGATCAGTACCAGAGGTTGCAAAGGAAATTTCCACAGAGAACATGAAGCAAACAGCCATGGAGGAACTGATATATACAAGGACAGCTTCTTCCTAACTTCACATTTTAGCTAGCTAGGGCTAGTATGTCCTGAAGGATGCCATATTTATTGAGAACTATTGGTGATAGGTGGACAGTTGGACTGGATGATCTTGTAGGTCTTTTCTATCCTTGGTGATTGTATGATATTACACCTTTTCCAAATTCAGTCTCTCCTATCACCTTAGCAATGTGCATTCTGTTAATAGAGCTCTACCTCTTTCTTTCTATAGTCCTGGTGGTAGGTGACATCTCAGCAGCCCTGCATGTCTGTGCGAGAAGCCTGCCCTTCTCTGGCCATTGCTTCTGGCTGGTAACAAGGACCCTGAGTGTCATGCATAGAGAAATGAATGCATTAATCCCTAACCCAAGAGGCTGTTAAATACAAACTGGTTTTTGTATGAGTCAGAAAGCACTTACTACTTGTAAACCATGCACATTCTGTTTGTGGAATATCATAGAACTTAGCTGCCCATGTGCCCAAAAGACAGTTCAAAATATGGACCATAAGAATTGAGATTTACTGGGCTCTTACTCTCAAGAAGTTGAACAACCAATTCCATTGATTATGTGTTGGATAAAATGAAACGTTGTGTAAAATGGAGACAAGTTGGACATTTTAGAGTCTGTGCTGCAGTTTCCTGACTGAAGCAAGTCTTTTTCAACATGACATTTTAATAATATTATTTTTTTTAATCTCTGCAAAATCAGCCAATTCCTACCACCAGATTTGCTCAAACTGCAGTGATTCAGCCCTTGACATTTTTAGCAGACTCACCACAGGTCATTACTTGCAGCACATGCGTGCAGTTTGTTGAGTAGATTGCCCACAACGGTGCCTATTTTGTTTTTACAAGCATTTTTGTTCAGTTACACTAGACAAAACAGTCAGCTGTATTATATTTCATGAGATCGTATTTTGCAGTAATAAAAATGAGAACATACGAAATACAGTACAGTTGATAATTACTTTCACTTACCTAATTTAGCCATGTAAAGGTTGTTCCTAACTTCAGCTAATGGATTTGTTTGCCTCAGTGGCTGCTAGAAAGAAACAGACATCTCAGAGTGAAGGATCACCAATGTATTTTTGCTACTTTAACAAAAGATGACTCACATATTATTTTAAGGACATAGGACTCAGGCTTAGTATTTTCTACTCAGAACAAAACAAAGCCTCAGGTGTTTGTCTTCTGAAATGCTAAATGAAAACTGGATGTAGCTTCACTGAATTTGGTTAGTACAAGTCAGCTATCCAGCTCATCTTCTTGTGAGATGAGGGGAGTTGAATACCAGTAGGCAGCATCACCAAAACCCAGTGCCCAAGTCCACAGGTGAGGCCAGTCACATGGTGAACTACATAGAGGGAAAAGGAACAATACATTTAAGATGCCCACTTGCAGAGAAATCCCACGCAACACAGCCATAAGAATTTGGACAGAAAAATGGATGAAAGATGAGAGTTCCCAGGATGAGTGCTGGGACCTCTCAGCACTCTCTCTGTTTCCTGTTGGATCATCCTTAATGTCTTCAAAATGGGACACAGTCTTTTTTTGCAAATGATCAGGATTTAAACTAACTGCCCCATCAGTTCCTTTCTGAAGTAAAGGATTTGCAATGTAGGCAACCTGAATAAAATTAATGAATAAATGTTTCAAATCTGTTTTTTTTTTTTTCTCTAATCAAAAGATTGGTCAGGAGAGAGCTGTCATGTAACGTTTCACTGAGATGTAAAGAAAGATAAAAAAAAAAATGCAAAATCCTTTCTCTTCCATGTTTATTCAAAATAAACAAATGCATCACTTAGCCAGAAACTGCAATAAAATAAAACATGTCCTTACAGGAAGCTGTTACTGTTTTCTTCCAATCCCACAGCCAACACTAATAGCTCTTAATTTACCATTTCCCCATCTCCTTTGAGCATTCACTTGTTCTGTGCCACCTTTCTTTAACAAAGTAAGCCTAATTGAAAAAAAATCCTCCAGTCCTTTCAGATGCTGCAGCACAATGGCACCAGCTTGGATTAGCCTCTTTTTCACAACCTGCAACAGCAAAGTGACAGAAGAGAGTCTATTATCTTTATATCAATCTCAGTTCTAAATCTTCCTCTAACAGATGCTACCAAGACCAGAAAATTCCTTTTCAGATCTTTTGTCCCTCCATGGAAAGCTTCAAGGAAGTCAGATTGCATTCTGTGCATGTCTTTCATTTCACATAATCACCCCAAGGAATCGAGGTTTTGTAGTAACAGTCATGGGGATTTGCTCACGTAGGATGCTCAAATCACTCCCACAGATACCATACCTATATCCGTGCCTCCTCTATTTATTCATGCTTACTGTGTTCTTCCAGCTCCCAAATCTCTGGCTTGTTGTGTTGGTGGAGTTTCCTGACCAGATTCCTTTAGCCCTGCTACCAATGAATGGTGTGCCCAGAACTGAGTCTTTCTGGTGTGTAATATTCAACATTCTCAGAGCTCCTTCTCAATGCATATATGCACTGTCAATTTTTTCTCCACATTAGCATCATGTTACTCAAGTTCAAACCCTAAATAACAGAAGGAATTGAAAGGAAATTAATTAAAATTCAAAATCTTAACAAGTTGATATGATTGCAGTGTTTGAAGTGATCCAAGACAACTAATATATAAAAAATAAGGGAAAAAAAAACAGTCCACAAAGCCAGGATGTCCTTAAAACATTGAATATTGTAATTTGTAAGGGCAAGATCTTACAGCGTGGCTGTTTGGATAAGGCTTTCATTTCCACAGAGAGGGAAGAACAGGACAATTGTGATAAGCAATATCCATAAGACATTCCTCCATTCAGTATCCCCATTTAAAACTGGCTGTATTGGTGCTTACTTTCCACAAACAAAGGTAGATCAGATTGCCTTGACACAGAAATTCCAGTGATTTAACATCAAATGAGAACCATTACAAGCAATTTCAAGGAACAAACCATTTCACTAAATTGCTCTTGCATTAAATGGATTGATTGTAACACTTTGTGCTACTCTGCTTCTAACCACATACTATCATATGTTACTTTTGTCCACAGTTTATTTGTTTCATTTCTTAACAGTTTCCAGCACTGTGTAGGTGTTTGGTAATATACAGCCTGCATTGTAAGTTATCAAAACCAGCTTAAGAATAAATGAACCAAACAGCAGCGTGCAATTGGCACCGTGTGGGCTGGAACCATGGGAAGGGGAGAGCACAGGGCAGCATTGACTGCCTCTCATGTGCACAGCACACAGTCTACCAAAAGAAATTTGGAGAGTAAAGCTACTAATTTCAAATGTTACGCTTCAGCAATAGACAAAAATACAGATGCTACAGATACAGCTCAGCTTGCCACTTCCATTAGAGATATTGCTAATGAACATAATATCACTGAAGAAATGGCTTCATTGCTGCCATTAAAGGGCATAACGAAACCCATTGATTTTTACAAAGCATTAAACATTATTTTTCTTTAATCCTTGTCAACATATCTGGTACAGCTACTGATGGTGCCCTGGAGATTGTTGGAAGAAAAAAAAAAAAAAAAAGAGGGATTTATAAAATTAATAGAAGATGATGCAGTTACCACCAGTAACTCATGTTGCCCACATTGTACTCGTCCAGAAAATTCATGTGTTTTAAAAGCTTTAAAAGAGGATAATGTCATGCAAATCATCAAAGCTGTGAATTTCATCAAGCGCAATGGACTGAATAATCACCAGTTCCAGGAGTTCCTTGAAAGTATGGATGCTGATTGTGAGGGAGGTGCTAAGTAATGGTAAAATTCTAAAAAGATTTACGATTTGCAAAAATGAATTCTAGTCATTCATGTAATCAAAAGGAAAATTTGTGCCAGAATTTGAAGACAAAAAAATGGCTCACAGATTTGACTGCTCTTCTTTTATCACTGGACCCATGTGGGACAGACACCACATATAATGGACACCGTGTCAGAGAAAAGATGTTTGGTATAGTAAGCCACAGCTTGGGTCCAAGCACTTACAATTTTCTAACAATAGATTATTAAATGTGAATTTCTCATTAGCACAGATTGTACAATAGGACCTGAGTGTTCTGCTCCTGTGTCCTTTGGAAAAGTTAAGAAGTGCAGTGTGTCCCCAGGATAAGAAAAGTAGATTTGAAATGTGGCTCTAGTGGTACCATACAGTACAAACATCACACTTTCAAGATAAAGAAATCTCATCTGTAGACTAGCAAAATAAACATATAGTTATGCTTGGCTAAATATAATCCTTTTATAACCCAACTGGTATAGATGAGGGATAGTTTTTTTCAGCCTTAATTATTCTGACATGTCAGTGAGTGGTGGATTTTCACAAATGAGTTCCTTACAGCTCCATCAGAGGTCATTTAGCCGGAGGTTGGTGACTCACAGTGTCACTGGGAAGCTAAGCATGAGCTGTACTCATTTCAGCAAAGCCAGCTGCAGTGAAAGTTGATCCCTGTGTTGACTATAGACAACCTACTGTAAGGCAAGCTGCAGCATCATCCCAGGTTACCACATCTCACCGTCTATGATTTTCTTCTCCTGCCAAAGACATTTAGTTAACATACATTTTGTCAATGTTTTATCAATATCTTCTTTTGAGAGGCAAGTTATATAACCTACTCCTACAGGCATTTTGGGAAAATACTTGAGAGCTTTCCTGAGATTTGTCGTAAGTTAGCAACACAGATGAGCATCTGAAATGAATACTAAAGATCTCTAACACAGTCTTAGCTGCAACCAGCCACGTGACATAAATAATCAAGGCATGAATGTCAAACAGAAAACAGGAAAACTCTTCAGTCTGATGCTCAGGAGCGATTTATGCTGTCATGGGTTTTTTCCCCCTCCACTGTGATTTCTTGGACATAAATTTGCAAAAGCACTTCAAAATCTACTTTATTTATACCCAAGTGTTCATTATAATTGTTATGATTATTTTTCTGAAACAGGCCAGATAGATATATCCTCACTCAAAAATAACAAATAACAATGTCTGCCTAATGTTACACAGGAAATGATCAAGTGTTGGAGAGTAACACCCTGGCTGGGGATTTACATCAGCCAGCACCTTGAAAGGACTGAACAGGTAACAACAAATGCCCAAGTGCATTTTCTCCTGTGTAGATCTACTGTCATGGATTCATACACCAAAGCTGATTTCCACTGTAAGGTGTCTTCTTCAAACTAGGCTTCTTCAAAAGAACACCCTGCTTTGGGGAAGCAGCTCTTTTACGTAATGGTTTATGTGTCCATGTCTTAGCAATCCCTATGTTGCAGCCAATTTGCAGCTGAGCAGGATCAGAATTCACAGCACCTGAATCTTCTAACTACATCTGCATGAGTTTTCAATGATCCCTTTTGAATATCCACTACCAAGAAGAGGCTGGAAAAGAAGCAGGCCAAAAAGGACAGTGCAGCAAGAACAGTATGTACCATTTGCCCTAGGAGTCATCATGTGGTGAGCTTACAACCTCACAAAAAGCATGAGGCAACATTTTGGTAATCCTTTACACTTATTTGTCCAGTGCTTAGTGTTATCATTTGGAAAAATGGAATCTAGCTCACAAAACTTTTCATCCCCCCAGCATTTGGGGAAAAAATCACTGAAGTTACTTGGTCAGAGAGGGGAAGTTAGCCAAATGACATCTAATTCCCAATTAATGCATTCCCACAGCAAATTATTTCTTCATGAAAATTCATTTTTTATGAAATGTATACATCAATGTTAATATGCTTTAATATACAAATAAATTACCCTCCCAGCTCACAATGTTGTATAATCACAGAGGTTGCCCAGGAGCAGTCACTTCCACCTAAATACAACCTAAATGGGAACTGTGACTCCTTTTAACCATAAATATTAAAAGATTAACATCTTAATAATTTTTATATTCCTTTAACATCCTACACTCCACTACATGTTCTACCAAAAGAATTGTACATCTATATAACTACATAGTCAATAATATAAAATTCCTACAGATCAGTACTAATCTCAAAATATACATCCATAATCTCATCATTACAGAGTTCAGCGGTCACTTCTCCATGGATCCTGAGTATAAAACATGGCATTTCACAGTACAAACCAGGTGAGACATCATGTAGGCAAGTTTATAACATACGATAAATGCATCTCTTCCTGACCATTCCTAGATCGTAGCTACATTTTTCCCAAATGCTTGTGTTTTAGGTAGTAGCCATGAAATATTCAGATTGCCTCGACTTCAAAAAAGCATATCCTGAAATACAATTGTTCAATCTCTGACATTCATCTTCCTTGTGGTATTTTCAGCTGACATGGTCTAAATTTCACAGACTGAATCAGTGTCACAGTTCCTAACATGGCAGCCCACACATGAACTGCATTCTATTAAGAAATATCTACAGGGTACAGCAGGCAACATCTGTAATGTGCAGAACAGTGCTTTCAAAAACAAGGATACAAAGATGCTGACTCCTCAGTACAGCGTGGTGATACCCTCTATCTTAACAACAAATTTAAAATGGTTACATGATTCTCACACAGGATGTAAATTTAATTCAAAAATAGTTTGCATACATATGACTCCTAGACAAAGCTGAAGTTTTCTGCTTCTACTAATGTGACAGCTAGGAATTGCTCCACTCCTTGAAAATTTTCTCCTATAATAAATGTCTGGCAATAGCATTACAAGACCAGTTAGAGGGATCCACATGTGTACTCTTTATTCTAGCTCTCACCACTGCAAGTTTCAAATGCCATTGCATGGTAAGGACATCTTAGTGATTGTCACAGGCCACAAATGAGAGAAAAGGTCAGGCAAGCTATTCCTCAAATCATGTATTTCCTACATAGCCTTCAGGGACATCAAAGGAGAACCTTGATAAACGTGGGGGAAACGAGATGTAAATGAGAAAACTTCTAAGTAGAGCCCTTACCTGCCAATGAGAACCACTTCACCTATGTGTAATGTGCCAGTGACTGCAGCTCTTGTCTGGCAGTGGCTTATCATCAGGAAGAGTTCACTTCATGGGAACATTTCCCTATAATTTCAAGGATTTAAGTACAGCACTACAGGAGGTTTGAATAGTCCAAGTGAACTCGCAAATGATGGTAAGCAGCAAGAGAAACTATTTACAGTAGGTGCTTCTGGGCATCTCTGTTCCAATTCACCATTCTTACTTTCATTCCAAACTCTCAGGACTGAAGCAATGGAAGCATCAGCTTTTCCATGACCTTCTGGGACCTCTGACTTAACCCTGTTGAACTTCAAGCTAATTTCCTCACAGAAATGATTGCTGCCAATGTTTCAAATGGTTTCCTTTAGACGTTTCACACTTCAGTTTCACACCAGTTAGAAGACTGGGTAATTGGAAACTCTTAATTCCACAGGATCTTTGTCAGCTTCCTCTCATTTCTGTCATACCTGCTTAATCCTTCACATAAAAGCTCTCAAAATTTTTATTCCCAAAACACAACAAAGCTAAAAAAAAAAAAAAAAATTGCATTTTCCCACAATATTTCAGTCAACATTTGCATGTGTACTGTAAGTGCATGCATTATCTACCCCTATGTAAGTCTAAAGATAAGAGTTTTCCAGAGTACTTGGAATCCAGATCCACTGATTTCCAAGCAAGCTGTAAGTTTTCAGCGTGTCTCAGCAATAAGCATTAAACTGAAGGACACTTGGTTTGTTTCTTATTCCCATACAATTTCTACCTCTTGTGTTCTTCCTTTTGTCACCTAGTCAGGAAAAATTTGGAGAGTATCATATCAAGGACTGATGAACAGTATTTAGAACCTGCTTCTCTGCAGGAATTCAGCTAATGGCATAACAAATTAATTTCAAGCTCTTTGTTGCTAATTTTGATATGGTCCTTCTTTCCTTTGCTACCTCTTCATACTTCTGTTGCGCATTATGTGCCCAAAATGTGATCGTTTTACATGCTACAGAAAATAGTGACAGAATAAGGGAAAACAACTTTAAGCTCAATAAGGTAAACTTAGGCTGGATATAAGGAAAAAGTCTTTTGCAGTGATGGTGGTGAGGCACTAGAACAGATTGCCCAGTGATTTGATTGACATCCTGTCCCTGGAGAGGGTAAGGCTATATCAGGCCCTAGACAACCTGATCTAGCTATGGTACCCCCATTTGTTACAGGGGAATTGGGCTAGGTGGCTGTAATGCTACAATGTGATAGAAAGTATGGCAACAATAGCGGGGTGGAAAAGTTTTCTGTTGCAGCAAATAAGGACAAGCCCAAGTAGAGCTACCATGGACGCAGAAATGAACAACAACGAAAAAGCTACTCACCTTCAGAAGCAGGGATCTCCAACAAGATACCCTCACATCCACTGCCAACCCTTATATGAGGTCTGAGAAGAGGTGAATCCTGGCTGCACCCTTTCCAGTCACTCAGCTGCACTGCATGTACCTGAGGCCCCCTATGTCAGCCCTGTCTTCCCACCAGGTGCTCAGTCACTGATTTAGGCTGTGACTCAGCATTTCTGCTACAAAGGCCTTCAGGGGTCCCTTACAACTCTATGGATAATATGAAATATTTTCAAATTGTGACCCAATTAAAGTCAGTGCCTTCATTTCCTCATTTGGTGGCAGGCCCCTCCTCAAGCAGACATGACATTTCTTTCACTGGATACATAAAGCAGTAAGAGCAGAAAAGAGAAACAAGTCCATCACTGCAAACAACACTGCTAATGGCAATTTATCAGAAACTCTGAGTATACACAATTTTAAACACCTTCAGCATTTTCTTCAGCTAAATGTACTTCCTGATGAAGTAAGCCAGAGCAATTCTCCAATACACAGAACTGAATTAACTAACATGTAGCATTTCAATCTTGATGTTGTCCCCATTTATTTCCATTTTTCTCTCCTTCACACACAGCACACAGATCAAGTATTTTTTATTGAGCTTCATGGCGTTAATGGAAACAACTGTATTTAGAAATTCTACTTGGCCATCACACGATGTACTGCCTGCACCTGATAATTCCGAGTGCATCACTTGGCAACTGGTTTCTTTAACCAATTTACAACCAAGGTTCCAAGCACACCATCTATTGCCTTTAGCATGAGAACAGTTTTCAGAACTGTTGATGTTTCAGAACTTCAACTTATATATCCCTGTTATTTTTGATGGGCATATCTAAGATTTATATAATACTGCATTAATAATGGTAGTAATAAACATTAGGATGGTTAGAACTACAAGAATTCTGATGCAACACAACTTAATTTCTCCGATTCTGTTGATAAAACACTCGTCACATTAACAGATACAGTGACTTAAGTACAGCAAGCACTGCATTTTCATAGATATAAAGAAGATGCTGGTTGGTGGGGCTTTTTTTTTTCAGAATTTAATTGGCTGAAATGTATACGTTTTGTTGCAAAAAAAACCCACAAACCAAAACCAGGAACCAGAGCATACAGCAGATACACTGAATTGGCTCCCTGAGAGATATCAAAACATAGCTGTGGTGACAGAGAAGTCAGCAACTGGAGGGACTCCAACTGGCTTTCCAAGGATTCTTACTGAAAGATTATTTAACATTTTTATTGATAATACAGACAGTGATACTCAAGTAAAGCTTGCCATTTAACAAACAGATAACCGTATTAAAGGATGGCATTATTTTTCTCTTATAGATCAACCTGATGTGCTTTGCAATGAAAGTAATTTAATTGTAGTTAAGTATAATGTAATACATCTGGAAAAAAGTTATTATGGATTATATGCTCATGTAAAATCTGACTTAGAAAGCAGTAGTCATAGAAATGTGGAAAAAACTGTCTGAACAGGTGACCTTGGTAAAACAGTACAGCAAAAAGGGATTAACGTGACCTCTCAGAGGCCCATAAAGGGGAATACAAAGTAGAAGGTAGGACGCTGTCTTACCTCGGCACATCTACCACAGCACTGATCTGCTTCCCAATGTGCATAGCTGTTTATGCAAGATCACTTTAGCATTATGCACATAACTTTCTGTTAAAGTTAATGGGAGGGTTCAGTAATTCAAGGCCTTTTAGCACACAAAAGCGGTGACGTGGAATAGACCTTGAGACTAGCAACCTAGCTGCTGAGACTAGCACAAACAAAACAATAAACACAATGCATACAGCTTAGCTGTTCTTTTGAAGCACAGCAGCAAAACATGCTCATTGAAAAGGCATTTATTCAAGTATACACAACACTGACTCACTCTGGAGAACGAAAATGTAGCCTTGGGAGGAGATAAAGCCATTTCAGTTGTGCAAGGAAGCTTTTAACTGGTAACACCTGAGTGTTGTTTGGTAACACATGAATAGCAGAAGTGCTGGCTGGGTAACAGAAGTGGTCTCTGCAGCCAATCAGATGTGCCTTGCAATACAAAAAGGGTGTGTTAAGTCAGGGAATGCCTTTTAGTGCACCAGCTGAAAAAAAACGGAACATCTTTAGATCTTAAGACTATAATTAAGCTAAAACATACTCAATTTCATAGCATCATAGAATGGTTTGAGTTAGAAGGGATCTTTAAGATCATCTAGTTGCAACCCCCTGCTATCAGCAGGGACACCTCTCCCTAGACCAGATTGCTCAAAGCCCCATGCAGCCTGGCCTTGAATGCTTCCAGGGAGGGGACATCCACATCCTCTGGGGGTAAACTGTTCCATTATCTCACCACCCTTACAGTAAAAAAATTCTTCCTAATATCTGGTCTAAATCTACCCTCTTCTAATTTAAAGCCATTTCTCCTCATCCTGTTGCTACCTGCCCTTATAAAAAGTTTGTTTATATATATTTGTTTATATAAAGCTTTGAAAACAGGAATTCAGTATACAGTGGGTAACAAAGTAAGATTATCTCACATCTTGCACATCTCCCCACTTTATTTCCTACCAAGCTCAATTCATGTCTGAATTGTGGGCACCAGGTTTTACCAAACATGAAAGAAATGATCACCACAGATAACTATATAGACAAAAGTAAGCACTTGAAGAGCACACAAATACAGCCTCTTGTTCACGTCTTGAAAAACACAAGTGGAGTATGTTTCAGAAGCAGAACAAAACCTTTAACACTTTGCACAATGCACTTAACAGTTTATAACATTCAGTGGCTTCACAAAACAGACTTCTTACAAGGGTATGTAGTGATAGGACAAGGGGTAATGGCTTTATTCTGAAGGGGGGTAGGTTTAGATTAGATGTAAGGAAGAAGTTATGTGCTACAAGGGCGGTGAGGCAGTGGCACAGTCACCCAGAGAGCTGTGGTGCCCCATCCCCGGAGGTGCTCAGGGCCAGGCTGGGTGGGCTCTGGGCAGCTGAGCTGGTGGGGAACTGCCCTGCCCACAGCAGGGGGGTGGCGCTGGGTGGGCTTTGAGGTCCTTTCCAACCCAAACCATTCCCCTGCCCTAATGTCTTACAGACATGGAAAGAGTTCTAGACAATACCCAGAACACCATGCACAGAACACTATCTGGCTGTAATAATTACCCTGAGAGAGGAAAGCCTGAGGGCAGCCCCTGATGCTGACAGACCCCTCGGGAGATGGGGCAGAGGCAGGCGGTGCAGGGCGGATCTTGGCGAGCTGGGCTGTACTACGGCCCCGACACCCAGCCCTGTGGGGGCATCGAGCGGAGCCGGGGGCGGGGGCTGCGGGCGGGCACCTCCCAGACAGGACCGCGGTCCTGACGGCGTTTCCGGAGCGGGGGAGCCGGGATGTGCGTCCGGGTTGGGTCGGCCCCAGCGAGCGGTTTCCTCTCGTCTCCCTTCCTCCGCCGCCTCCCTCCCTCCCTCCATCCCTCTCTTCCTCGCCGTCTCCGAGGCGGAGCCGCCGCCGCTCCAGGAGTCGGTGAGAGGGAGAGGGGGGTCGGGGGGGAGCGGGGCAGGGCGGAACGCTGGCGGGGGGCGCCCGTGAGGTCCTCGGGGAAGCCGGGCTCCCTGGGTGGGCGGCGGCTGCGCTTCCTGAGCGAGCGGTGTGTAGCGCGGCGGTACGGAAGCGTTAGCCGGCGGGAGAGGCGGAGGGCTGGGCCGGGAGCACCTCACGGGCTGCAGCTGGGACGGTGTTCCCATTTCCATCTTCCCACCGAGAGGTGCTGGTTTATATAAACCTCTCTCTGTCCGATGCGCCTGCCTGCGCCGTGACCTTTGCCCGCGTACCTCAGCGGTTTGGGTCTGTCTCTGGTTAATGTACAGGTGGGCACGGACGAAAGGAACGGAAGGGAGCGGGGCAGCCCTGCGCGTGGGGTGAGATCGTGCGTTGTGGGGCGGGAGCCTTGAATGTAGAGCTGCGTGCATCCAGCGTCAATCGGGTGAAGATTTAAACGTTTTCGAAAAGAAGCATTTTAGGGCGGGTTCTTGCTTTTAAAAGGTTTTGGAGTGGGTTCAGAGGAGGCCACAGAAGCGTTGGGAGGGCCGGAGCAGCTCTGCTGTGCAGTCAGGCTGAGGGAGCTGGGCTGGTTGAGGCTGGAGAAGAGAGCTGTGGGGAGGGCTGAGAGCAGCCTGACAGCGCTTGAAGGGAGCTTACAGGCAGGAGGGACCAGCGTTTTTACACAGCCTGATAGTGATAGGACAAGGGGAAAAGGCTTTAAACTAATTTAATTGGAGGTTAGATGTTAGGAAGAAATTCTTTACTCAGAGGATGGTGGTGCCCCATCCCTGGAGGTGTTCAGGGCCAGGCTGGGTGAGCACTGGGCAGCTGAGCCGGTGGGGGGCTGCCCTGCCCACAGCAGGAGTTTGAAACTAGATGTTCTTTAAGGCTGTTCTATGATTCTGTGGTCTTTGAGAATCCTAAGGTGAAATCATCTTTCCTCTTCTGTTCACAGCATTTTTATGAACGCAGCTATTTATTTTGTTTACAGGATTGATAGATTGGTGAATAAGCCAGAGAGGCACCTGAGCTGCAGAGATGTTGGAAGAGGACATGGAGGTGGCCATCAAGGTGGTAGTGGTAGGAAATGGAGCTGTTGGGAAGTCCAGTATGATTCAGCGATACTGCAAGGGGATCTTTACAAAGGACTACAAGAAAACTATTGGTGTAGATTTCCTGGAAAGACAAATCCAGTATGTATCAAACAGATGTCATGCTATGTATTTTTACATTCCCCTCTGTTTCTTTGTTCTCTTGTAATCCTAAGATTGACGGATACTTGAAACACAAAGCCTGCAGTCTCTAAAGCTAAGTCAAGGGAGCTGATTTTTCTTTTGAACTGTGGTAAAAAATTTCATGAACTCAATTTTCTCTTACAGATTTAGAGTTGTAAATCAAAATTAAAATTTTGAACCTCTCTTATTCTAAGATTTTTGACTAGTTTCTTGTGTGCTCTACCATCTGTTGAGATTTTCTCTTTTTAGTTATTTGAAGTGGAAGTGCTTATGATAAAACATTTGCATGATTTTATTAACTAACAGTCTACACTACAGATTTAGTCTCCATCATGATATAGTATGGAGTTGAACCATCACCAATGCTAAGTTTTTACTATGTTAAAGTAACATTATTTTTTAATTGTAGAGATGGGAATGCTTCTATGCCAATGGCTTTGTATTAATCGCAGAACCATGTCGTTTATTTCAGAGTTAATGATGAAGATGTCAGGCTAATGTTATGGGACACTGCAGGTCAAGAGGAATTTGATGCGATAACTAAGGCCTACTACAGAGGTGAAAATACCATGTTTGGTAGTTGGTTGGGTTTGGAACCTGTCTTTAAAATATTTTCCTATTTCTGGATTAAGAATTTCAGTAATTCTTTGTGTTTGCAAAGTATGTTTAGCTCCCCTTTTTAGCTCTGTGAATGTATTCCCCCTTTATGTACAATCCTCTCCATGATTAAGTGCCTCTTTATACAATATTGTCCTTTAAAAAAAAGCATAGACCAGAACAAGGCAAATGTCTGTACAGAAACTCCTACATAGTATTTCAAGCAATATAACTCAAAATCAAACTTAATTTGTTTTATGTGATGACCTATTTTTGATCCAATATGCTCTCTTAAAATAACTGAAGGCAATTGTTCTGGAGTTTTGGGTGGGAATTCAGGTTGTGACTGATAGTTATGCCTTAATGTTCTAGGGTGCTACAGTTTTCTGAGCTTTTTGTATTTCATGGTAATTTTGATTAACTACTTTTTTAAAAAGTAGTATTTCCTGCTGTCCCTTGTAATTGTTGGCTACCATTTCTTCAGCAAAAGAAACTTCTATTTCTTTCTATCCTCCTATGAAAATAGACCATTCTGTTGTTTTACAGCTAAGTTGAGCGTATAAATTTCAGAAGGTAGGACTTGATTATCTTTGAGCTTCTTTATCACTTGTTTCAAGCCAAAGCTTTTTTCTCCTAATGACTGTCAGTGCCATGCTAAAGCATGGAGTATCAATCTCCTCCCTGAGCATCAAAACTGGTGGTTTAAGAAATAATCTGCCTGGAGATCTTGATGTCTTGCTGATGACTCACGGTGCAGGTAGAACTCTGCCTTTGAGATTTTTGTATTGAAGAGGCTGTTGTGGAGCAGCAGGTCGTCATCCTGTGGATACATGTTGCAAATTATGCGATGGATATCTTAACTATGCTCAGCTGTTCAATGCAGTGACTATTCTGCACTAAACATTGAGGGACAAGGGAAATTTTAAGAGGCTGGAATGGAATTTCTGTTTAGCAACAGGTCTGCAAGCACAGTGTTATAAAGCTAAAGATCAAGTTTACTTTGTAAGTACAAGGATTTTGGTGCATTCTATTGCTGATAAGGGGAGGATGCCTCTAAGGAAGATAGAACAAGTGTTGGCTGTTACTCCAAGGTCTGCACCTCGTTCAGATCTCTGTCCCACTGACTGCTATCATTACAGTGAGGGTTACATACTCTCCTGGAACGTTGTGCATTGTCTGTTCTTCAGGAATCAGGTGCTTGTCCATGACAATACAATAAATGCTTCTGTTTCTGAGCCCTTGTCCAAGGACTGAATTATTCAGCCTAGCAGAGAAATAAATTTAGAGCTGACAC